TCCTCGTCACGGATTTCACTAAGTATGCAATATATTGGAATCTTAAAGACCGTGGTGATGTTTGTCCTTGCTTTCAACCTTCTGTTAGCATCGGCTACGTCATCCCGGGAGTAGTCATCCTGGTCATTCCGACGTCCCCTACCGCAGTTTTTGCGATTAGTGCCACGGTCCGATTCCTCGGCACGGTCGTTGGATCTGCCGAACTCCTGCCCGACCGTGTGCACTTTTCCAGTTGACCGCTTGTCTGTTGCTACCGGTGTTGCCTTCACGGTAGATACTGACGCATCATCCTCCACTCGGATGTGCTCATTGATGCGCTGCATTAGCTGGCCCATGGATGTTGGCTGGTGCATGGTAAGCGAGTTCAACAGTCTATGTCCGACCACGAGACCACGCTTGTATTGTGTGATTGCAAGGTTGGTCGGGCAATCCAAAATCTCGTTGAAGGTCTCCCAATATCTGGAGTTGTATGCCTTCAATGTGTCGCTCGGTTCCATCTTGACACTCAGGAGGTGATCAACTTCCTTTGGTGTTTTGGTGTTGGTTTTGAAGCGCGTCACAAAGGCTTCGGCCAACTGCTGCCACCTTTCAATGCTCCCCTCCGGCAGCCTCTCGAACCATTTCAAACCCAGCTCGCCCAAACTCAACGGGAAGATCAAGCACATAAGAGGGTCATTCTGCCTATGTCCGACCATAACTTGTCGGAAATGACTTACATGCATGTACGGGTCGGTTTTTCCGTCATAGAGCGTGAACTTTGGCTGGTGGAAGCCCGCCGAAAGCGGTGCGGTCTCGATATCCACGGAAAATGGAGTGGCACTCAGCCTTGCCAAGTCTGTATCTACAAGGAGAGGCGCAGCTGGGCGGGGTGGAGGCATTCCAACCTCCTCGCTGGCGTGAACCCCATAGGATAGCCGCTGGAACGCCGGCACCCTTTGAGCCTCCTGCCGGCAAGCCCGTTCTTTCAAAACTGCCCGCAAATCCTCTGAATGAGCAGAATAAGAATACCTCGACGTCGTCGCCGGACGTGAGGGTTAGTAGGTACTATCTTGCGCGCTGGATTTCTCTTCGTGCGCGTCGGAATCTCCAACCTTGTAACTTCTGGTGATTGAGATGGACGGTGTACGCTGCTGGCTCTAACTGCTTGAACAGCGAGGTTGGGTGCGCTCACTGTGGTCTCCCTCTCCAGCTACACCCTTTCCTTTGACATGCCGCTTCAGCTCCTCCATCTCCGCCGCCATCCGCCGGATGACGACGTCCTGGTCCCTTAACTTGTGTTCCAGACGTCGGGCATGTGATTCTCTCCGCCGCCGATGACCGTCTAGGCTCTGTGAATGACCATAACTTCTTCCGCGCTTATCTCGCGCATCTCTTGTCCTCCTGGAGAAATCTCCAGGTCCGCCATTGGAGGAATGATGGTGGGATGTCCTTCTCTCCGTCTGCCCGACTCCGGGTAACTCCGTCGACGGCGGACAGCGGAATCTCCTCGATGTTCGCCATGGATGACGATCAGATGAGCCTAGAAGACAAGGTTTTGTCTGTCGACTTCCCACAGACAGCGCCAATTGTGCGGGGAGCAAATATCCAGGCGAGCCCGCACTCCTTGCTTCCGAGCTCCGTTTCTATCCGATCACCTGCGTGCACAACAGCGGTGAGCTACCCGGCGGTGTGTGGTCAGAAAACCCCTCCGACGATCAAGTTAGCACACACCTGAGGATAGAGAGAATGAGGAGTGAATGGAGTGTAAGTATTTCTCTTACTAAATGTTCGTCCTCCAGCATGGGGGGCACACACTTGCTTATATACCTTCTGTGCCCCAAATCTACTCCCAGTGATCTCTCAACACGTGGTTCTGCTATCCCATCTGTCAGCACAAATCTTGCTGAATATCACCTAACCCGACTGCCAGCCCACTCTACTAGGAGCTCGACAGCCGGGCTGAATCTTCTCGGCTGTCGACGGCCATGCTGTGTTCCATGCCCAATTGCTCCAAGAACTGAGATCCTTTCCAGCCATGCTCGGCAGCATTCCGGCAGAGCCGACCTTCAGACTGGTCGTACCGGTCAACCAAAGGCCATCCAGCCGGGCTTCCGGCACAAGCTTCTCGACCGGGCTAACGGTACGCGCCTTTGACCGAGCAACGCAAGTTGCGCGGTTATCACCTGCGCAGATCCAAGTGGCTCGGTCCATATCTGAGCAGCCCCAACTCCGGGCAAATCCAAAGTTATCGCGGCCCAACGCACCATTGGGCCTCCAATTTGCTCGGTCTCTAACTTGGCCCATACCCGGCTCATAATTCTCCCTCTCACCACTTAAATGATTTATTTATTCAAATTAAGTTATTTTAAATATTTTAGCTTAAATAACTATCTATGGTTATTTTGTGTCTCCTATACTCTTAGCATAATATTTTTCACTCTGCTGTGTGCTTAGATGTTACCTCTTTTAGGTGAAGAAATATGAAGAAGAACTGTAACCTCGTATAGTAGTAGGACTCGCACGGAATTTGATGTCAACCTGTTACATTTTGTTTTTCTTTTCTTTTTCTTTCTGTTTTTTTTCTAAAATTTTGCCTCCGCATAACAAAATAATAAAAGCCTCATAGATATATTTTTGATCATTAACGAAGTAAATTTTCTATTTAATTATTTTCTTAATTCCATTGTGCCTCCACCTGCACTATTTAATTTGTTAATATTAGAATTAATTAGTAAGTCGTGATTCCAGCCCTAAGTCCTTGGAGTTAGGTTGTGACAAAAGTGTGGTTATTTTGTTTTCCCTATACTCTTGGTATAATGGGTTGTTTTGGGAAGTTAGTAAAAAGTTGACTTTTGACTTTTTATCAAGCTTTTTGGCTTTTTTAGAAGTGATTTGAGAAGTTAATAAAAAATTGATTTTTTATTTTTTAGTTTAATATTTATTTATGGTGTCAAATCAAATTAAAATGACCATAATACTCTTACCCAACATAAGAGATTTGTTTTTTTATTTTTTTTTCATAAGCCCTAATTTGTAATTTTATGGCTGCGTTTTTTGCACTTCCCAAAGGGATTTGGTTGCGTTTTGTCCAAAAACGTGGCTTTTTACTATGTTCCCAAAATGACACAATATTTCTCATTCTATTTGTGCTTATAACTGTTACCTTCTTTAGGTGATGAGATGTAAAGAAGAAATGTAATCTCGTATAGTGGGACACACACAAAATTTGATACCGACCTGTTACATTTTGTCTTTTTCTTTCTTTTTTTTTTCTAACATTTTGTCACCACATAATAAAATAATAAAAGCCCCACGGATGTATTTTCAATCATTAACGAAATAAATTTTCTATTTAATTATTTTCTTACTTTCATTCTGCCTGACTATTTAATTTATTAAAATTAAAATTAATTAATAAATTACGATTCTAATCCTAAGGCCCTAGAATTGGTTTGTAACAATAGTCACACATTTAAATTATTTCACAATATCATAAATTAAAAACATTACGTGAAACAATATCACATAATAATCCATCATTATTGAATAATTGCAAAAAATAACAAGGCAGAACGGACAAAAAGAGGGTGTGTGTTTATATGGTTTTGCGTTGCGTAATAGCATGTCAGCGAGCCACTTTCGTCTTCTCCTTTTTCTTCTTCCTTTTTTTTATATATTTATTTATATATTTTATTTATTTTAGATAAATTTCACTTTACCCTCTTTAATTATTATCTCGTATTATTTTATTTTAATTAAAATTTACAACAATTAACCCTCTCAATTATTATTGTTTTTAATTTAAATCATTATGACTAAAATACTTTTTTATCAATAAGATAAATTACATTTTATCACTCAATATCACTTTATCTTTTTAAACTATCACCCAATGTTATTTTCAATTTAGAACTTTTAATTTATTTTTATTTTATTACTAAATTAATTTTTAGTTTCTTAAAAAAAATTAAACAAATTTTAAAAATTTAACCAAATAAAGCAAAAATATTTATAAAAGAATCTAAAAAAGTTCACCAAAAACAAAAAAATACAAAAAAAAAATGTTTGTTTTTTATTTTTTTCGTCTTTAGTGATTTTTTAAAAATTTCTTCACAAATATTTGATTTTTAGGTGCATCTTAAAATTTATAATTATTGATTAATATATAAAAAAAATATTAAAAACAAATGAATTAAGAAAAACTATATATATATATAAACCTTTAAATTTTTATTTTAAATTAAAAATCAAACCTTTTTTTTAGAGAGAGGACTACAAAAATAGAAAATGTTTGTTTTTATTTTTTTTCGTTTTAGTGATTTTTTAAAAATTTCTTCACAAATATTTGATTTTTAAGTGCATCTTAAAATTTATAATTATTGATTAATATATTAAAAAAATAAAATTAAGAAAAACTATATATATATAAAAAAAATTAAAATTTTATTTTAAATTAAAAATCAAACCGTTTTTTTAGTTGAGAGATAGAGTGATATTGAGTGATAGTTTAAGGAAATAAAGTGTAATTTACTTCCACAGTTAAAAAGGTATTTTCCTTATTAAGGTCTAAATTAAAAAAAAAACAAAACTTTTTTTTCACAATCTCTCCTTTTCTATTCCTTTGGTATCTACTTTTATTACAAAAAAGACGAAATATCATTTTACCTCTCAAATTTTCACATGTTTTTTAATTTGACCACCAGATTTTGTATAAACTTTTGAATTTTGATCAATTTAACCTATGTCATCATATTTCGCCTACAATCAAACGGAGCTTGTTGACGTGTCATCAAATTTCATTTGAAATTTCATTTTACCTCCTAAACTATAACTTAAAAATCAATTAACCCTCCAAATATTAAAAAAAAAAATTAAAAAGAAAATTTAAATATCTAATAAATAATTTTTTATCTCAATAATAAAAAAAAATTATATTGTGTCTCCAAAAGAAAATTAATAATTTATTTTTAAAAACATGCTTATCGTTCAATTTTTCAAAAATAAACTAAAACAATATGAAATAAGCAAATAGAAGTTTTGCTAGAATTCAGTTTTATTATAATTGCAAATTCAATCTCCATACAAACTTAGCCAAGCTTCTAAAGTTTTATACAGTACGGATAGCCAAGGAAAAGCTAGAACAACATATTATTATTATTTCTTGTACATACATATAATTCTATCATCCTGATGTCTTAAAATGATAAACTTGGAGGTTTTCGACATCGAGCTTCTTGAAATTGCTAAGGGCTCTGGCGCTGACAAACTTTCCCCAGTTGAATGCCCTATACTTGGCCGGGTTTTGCTCATTCGCCACCAGCTCTGCCACAGGTTCCACCATGGTGTAGTGTGCTGGGTTGAAGAAGAATGGAATGGAAAACCTTTCCCTCTCGGAGTTCACCATCACCCTGTGCTCCACACTCTCATACTTGTCATTGCTCCAAACCTGTGTACAAATATTAAAATCATTTTGGCCAACCATATAAAGCCTCTGTTTGGCAAGTTGGTTTATGGGTTTTTTTTTGACAATTTTAGTCACAAAAGATAAAATAGGCTATTTTAACTACAACAAACAAAATATCACATCCAACTCATAATTATTACATTATTCTCTCACAAAAAAAGTCAAAAAAATTAAAAAATCAAAAAATCCTTCCCAAACCAAACTTTTTAGCCCAGGCTAAAATAGCCAAAAAAGTCAAAAAGTCAACTCACTTCCCAAATGAAAATAACCCTTTTGAATTACATATGGATTGGTTTGGGAAGTGGATTGACTTTTTGACTTTTTTTAACTATTTTAGCCTGGGCTAAAAAGTCTAGTTTGAGAAGGACTTTTTGATTTTTTTGACTTTTTTTTGTGAGAGAAGAGTGTAATGATTATGGATTGGATGTGATATTTTATTATTTGTGACTAAAATAACCTATTTTATTTTTTGTGACTAAAATAGCCAAAAAAACCCAACCTAACTCTTTCCAAACGGAGCTTATCAAGAATTGGTAGAAACAAATAAATTAGTTATAAACAATAAAAGGAAAAAAGGACGATTGGTTTGATATTAGGGTAATGTTTAAGTGTGCAACCCTCTTAAGGTTGCACACCATGTGCAAGGTGTAAATGTAAAAAAATATCGTAAATGCACATTTAAGAAGGTGTAAATGCAAGGTCGTAAATGCCTTGCATATTATGTACAAGGCACACTTAAGAAAAACTGTTGATATTATTGTAAGTGAAAGTGACACTACACCTTATCACTATTTCAATTTTGACAATTCACCTAGAGGTAATCATGATGTGCCACATGCATATAATTTTGACATAATTCTCTTGCCTCAGTTATCACGTCAATGGTTTATTTATTTATTTTTGGTTGATAAATATCACTTCAATGATTTCTTGCAAGGAATTGTGTGCAATATATGAAATTTAGAAGCTATAGGAGGTGTTTATGAAATTATTTATTATTATTTTAGAAGTTTGTATCAAAATTTAGCACAACTTCTACTTAGATTTTGGTTCTGTTTGGAAAGAAGAAAGTTAGATTTTTTTGGTTAAAATAGTCACAAAAAATAAAATAGGTTATTTTAGCCACAAAAAAATAAAACATCAAATTCAATTCATAATCATTACAATCTTCTCACAAAAAAAATTTAAAAAAACTAAAAAGCTAAAAAGTCCTTTCCAAACCAGACTAAAATAGCCCAGACTAAAAAAGCGAAAAAGCCAATCTACTTCAAAAACGGAGACTTTATAAAAACAAAAAATATCTCGTTTGAGGAGGGACTATTTTAATTAAAAAGTTAAAAAATTATTTAAAATTATTACATCATTTCTCTATTTTTTTTATATTTTTTGTGAAAAATTAAAAAATTACTAAAATAACCTATTTTCAAGCGAGATCTAAATAAATTTTGAAAAAAATTGATTATTAAAAGATGAATGTTATTAACTTTTTGTATTTAAATTGTCCGTCGTTGTACCAAACAGATTGACCGGGAAGTTGTTACCTGAATAAGATCACCCACATTAACAATGTAAGCATCCGGGGTAGGTTTAACTCGAACCCATTCTCCATCCTTGCGCTTAACTTCGAGGCCTCCAACATCATCCTGAGCAAGGACAGTCAAGGCACCGGCATCCTTGTGTCGACCAACACCGAGGGCAAGGTCAGGAATGGGGCAACGCGGATAGTAGTTGAGTCGCGTGAAGCTTGTTTGATCTTTGAAGCAGCCACTGAACCGGTTTGCGGGCAGCCCTAAGCTCAGGGAGATGAGTTCCAAAAGCTTGTGAGACAGTTTTTCTGTTTCTCTAGTGTACTCTTCACATGCCTCCCTGGTCACAAGGCAGGGCTATTAGGTTACATATGATTCAAGTTTAAGAACAACAAGAAGCTGTTTGGCTACTCCTCTTTAGAACAATTTAACAATATTCTCAATATATGCTTGCCAATGTACCAAAGAACAATAAATCTACGAAAATAGAACACACTTTTTTATAAAAAATCACTAATGATGTGTTTAGTTTAGGAATTTGGAAAGAAAAATAAAAAAAAGAAAAAGTAAGTTTCACCTAATTTCACACACATTTTCTCTTTTTCTTTTTAAATTTCTCTCTCAATCTTTCAACCAAACACAGCATAAAAAAGTCAATTCTCAAATAAACCCTAAATATAGGTAATTTGCCTTTCCCCTTTTTCTCAACCCTTATCCTATATCTCCGATCCCATTCTGTGTGGGTTTTCTCCGCTCCGAAAAGAAAATGGGAAGGGAATTGGATTTACTTCCCCACCCTGTTTTCTCAACTCTCACCCTGATTTTATTAATTATAGGGTAATTCCTTGAATCCAAATCTAAACAAGTGGCTATCGTTCAAAACCGTGAGATAAAGGATATGGGTAGACTAGACATCCAATTGAGAGTCTCAAATTAGAGAGAAGCTCGGCCTTTTTATTATCTCGCATCTTTAATCGTTCTAACTCTTTTTAGAACATTTCCAATCTTTCATATTTTTTTTATTAAATTTAAATTTGATTATTTTTTATCAAATTTGATGGAAAGAGAAATTTTAAACAGATTATGATTAAAAAAAATGAGAGTTTTTCGTATCAAATCAAAATTTTTATTTAAATTTAAAATCAAATTAAATAAAAACAAAAAAATTGATAAAAAATTAGAGAGGCTCTTACTCATCAATCTTTTATCTTTCTTATATCATATCTCTCATTAACTAACACTATCATTCTTCCGAGTGACAAATTCAAAAATAATTTCAACCCCTCCCAAAAAGCATGAATATCAACCAAGCCAAGCCATCATACATTGAAGCACGATCGTCAACAATCAAACACAAATTCACCTGAATTTAGGAGGATACTGAGGCCATTGAGTGAGCAACATAATCACTTCCTCATCACCATCTTCATGAGAAGCCGGAATCAGCGTCGGAACCTGCATCACAAAATCAAAAACCTCTTTCCAATCCCTGACGTTCTTGGTGTGCTCTCCATCATAATACCCCATCGGATTCAACTCATCTCTCTTCACCTTGCTCTTCTGCTCTATTGACTGTTTAAAAAACTCTCTCGACACCGACTCAATTGCTTGGCGATAGTTGACAGAGACTCCATGGTTGATGACCTGGAAGAATCCCCAGTCCTTGCACGCATTGCCTATCTCGGCTACGAGGTTTTCCATGGCGGTGGAGTCGGGTGGAGAGTTGTGAAGTGGAGAGAGATCGATGAGTGGAATACCCTCGGCTTCGGTGGAGGCGAGTTTGGGCCTGTGTTCCGTGGATTGGATGAATGATGGATCGATCTCTCCCATTGTTTAGAGAGCAACAGAAGATGCTGAGGGTTTTTTTTCAAGGAAATGTTGGTCGAGACAGTGAAATTTTGGAGGGACATATATAGAAGGCAGGGAAGAGTGTAGTAATGTAATATATACACTGAACCTGGACAGGTTTTTCTCGTAAATCATATTATTGTGGTGAGCAGGTTGAAAATGTTTACAGTTTGTTGATTTTTTAGAAAAAAATAATAATAATAAATATGTTTGATATACGTATAATTTTAGTTGAAAGTAATTGTTCACAGTTGAAGAGGGTAGGTGAGAGTGGTTAGTGGTGGTCGAAAATAGCTACTAGCTCATAAAAAAAAGGTAGTCGAAGCTAGTTACTCGTAAGAAGTGGTGGTCAAAAGTAATTGTCGATAGTTAAAAATGTTGGTACAAAGTAATTGTTGGTCATTGGAAGTGGTAGGCGAGATAGTTTTTGTACCCAATTTGGTTTGCCAATGGTGGTGACAAGCAGTGAATAGTGGCTAGTGAGTGTCCAATTTGGTTTGGCAATGGTGGTGACAAGCAGTGAATAGTGAGTGTGGGAGGATTGGATTTTTATTTTTATTTTTATTTTTTTATTACAGGAATTATTTATTTTTATTTTTTTAAAAAAAATTTGTAAACAGTAAAATAGGCATAAAATAGTTCATGTTTAAGCTTTAAGTTTTTTTTTATAAATATATATATATATTGTGTGGGTATTTTTCTGACCACACTGCTCGCCTAGTAATTAGCTGGAGAGCACCGGCAGAATAGATGGCTTCAACAAACCTGTAACAGAAAGAAAAGGCTTCAGCGGTGGCTCTTCCACCCGGAGGCACTCCGACAATCAAGTCAGTATATTTCTCAAAGATAATCAAGTGCTAAACTCACAAGCTTAAGCATAAAACTGCGTACCTTAGACCCATGGAGATGCCACTCTTTTATAGTTTCAACCCAAGTCCTACTAGAAGCCTGACTTCTATGGACTCCAATTCAGTGCTTACTTTGGATTCCTCAAGAGACAAAGATAAACTCCCTAAGAGCTTTATCCTTATCTTAGCAAAGTCTTCTCTTTACTCTAGGACTCCTGTCCCTTTTCTTTTATCCATTTATCTCGGATTCCGATATCTTTGGAGATAACCTCGGCGTCACAATCTGGACACGTGGCACCTCGGCTGACACGTCAGCGTCACCTTGCCACGTGTTGGTATTTCAAAAAATACATCCCCACAACTGCCCCCTAGGTTCTATTACCTCGGTATTCTGAGGTGCTGAGGTGATAGAACCTATATCTGTATTGTCTTCTAGTACCTCAGCGTAAGAACTCTTCGGTCGAGATCATTCATGTCAAGCCGACATGTTCCCTTCGGAGAACAAGAATTCCAGTGATCCTTTTCATACGTGTGAGCTGTCACGCATCTTTTACTCAACCGTTTCTCTTACGCATCTTTACCTTATTGGTCCGTGTTTGTGACGCGCCTATAAACCACGTTTTTCCTGCGTACGCTGCCTGACGTATGCACTGCTCCAGGCACATTGATTATCTTTTGCCGCCATTTTTGGTTTTTGACAAAAACTCTTCCTTCTTCTTTCATTTTTTCACTATTGCATTTGTTGTTTCTCTCTCTAAACTCGTTCTTTCGAATCCGCCATTGCTGAAGCTTCCAAGCTCTGTGTTTTGTCTTCCTGGTGGAACTTTCGTCGTTCTGCCACATCTGTAACTACCGACTAATTTCGACAGTCCTCACATCGGCTTCATTTTTTCTGGTAAGCAACTGTTCCTTCTGATTTCAATTCTTGACCATTTCTGGAATCTCCTATTATTACTGCCTTGCTCAAATATCTATTTTGTGAATCATTCATCTGAATGTGTTTACTCTTTGATTTGGCTCTTGCCTATACCTTGAACACACGCATCGTTGCACCACTTCACTGTATTTTTTCCACTGATCTTGGTCCTTTATTTCTCGTATTCTTTATGTTCTTGATAGCCCATCCCTGTTCTTGTTTCTGAAACTTCGCCTTTATTTTCTGTTTTTTGTGTCTTTGCCAGATCTCTACCTTCGATTTTTGCGTTCAATCTTTACCTTCATAGATTTAGGTTTGGGATTTGTCTATAGAACCTATCAATTCTTAGGAAAAAACTGAAACAATCCTTACCAGCATATACCTAGGGTTTCGCCGAGGACCCGATAACCCCTTAAAAGCATCTTCTTTCTGAAACCAAACCCTCTGTCTTTAGGCCGACGTTATGGGTATGTGGAGGCACAGGGTAAACACCCCGACCAAACTTGAATACTTTAGGCAAGAGTTCTCTATTCCTGCCGATGTTCACCTTAGGCTAGCTGGGGATGATGATTCTATCATGCCTACAGACAATACGATGCCCTTTCCCATTGTAGCCTTTACTGAATGTGGACTTCGACTTCCACTTAATCCCTTTTTTTTGCGAAGTTCTTCACTATTATAAGTTAAACCCCATACAACTTACCATCAACTCTTATCAAGTGATTAATGCTATCATAGTCCTAGCTAGGCAGGAGAACGTTAGGATCACCCTTGCCAATATCCAATATTGTTATACCATGTGCGCCCTGAACTTAAAAGAAAAAGGTTTCGTCTATTACCTCAAGCCGAGGTCCACCGAATTCAAAATTGTAGCCGACCTCCCAGACTCCAACAAGGGGGTTGGAGATGACTACTTCATTGCCTCTGGAAATTGGGAGTTTGCCCCAGACGAGGATGCCCATCTCTACCCTTTTCCCCGATCAGTTAAAGAAGGCAAGGGTAAGAGCCCAGTGTCAATACTTAGTTGTTTCTGTTCAAGTCTTCAATATTTTATCTGTTTCTAATGTCTGTTTCTTCTTGCAAACGTTCGCAAGCCAGCGAAAGACTTCCGCCAATCTTACATTCCTAGTAAGGACCTGAAAAAACTCCTGGACTTGCCAGTTCACAAAAGAAAAGAACCTCTTCTTCTCAACTTTATTCCTACATACAAATCGACTTTGCCCGACGTTCCCAAACGAAAGAAGAAAAGCCTTTCTCCTCCTACTGCCACAACTCAAACCGTCTCTACATCACGAACAGATCAAGAGTCAACATCTGACCCAACCAATCAACCATCTACCTCGGCCTCATACTTAATCCCAATACCAGAAAGAAAACGTCGGCGACGACTTGTCAAAACTGCTGAGATGGGTCGCCCGAAGCCTGTTGCTGTAGATCTCTTAGCCGACCTACCTGCCGACGTTGATGCTGTTCCGACTCAATCCATGCCCCCACCAAAGCCAAAAAGAATCAAAAAGGCCCAGCCCAAGGCCAAAGCTACTGAGGTTAAGGCTGAGGATGCTCTGCCCATCTCAAAATTAGCTGAGAGTAAAAAAACTGCTTCTGCTTCTGCAAAAAGGTCTGCTGAGGCCCAGCCATCGGAGTCCACCCAATCAAAGAAGCAGAGGTCATCGTCTGTGACGACCTCGGGTTCCAAAATACCAAAAGTCCCCTGGTCACCTGAGATCACTCTAGAGGATAAGCCTGTCCTTGCCAACGACAGCGCCGATGATATAAACGTCGGCGTGGCACTCAGTACTGTTCTACTCCTCCCAGGCGATCTTGAGCGGAATGCCAAGATGAGTGAGTATGAGAACTACGCCTTTATGCTGCAACGCTCTGTCCAAGTAAGTGCCTTTGTGCTGAAATTTGTTTTATAAAATTTGTAACAATTTGTGTCTTGTGTTCTTTCAGGCCATCCAACATGCCCACTCTCTCTCCATACAAGCTTTTGAAAATCGGCAAAGATTGGCCGACATGAAGAGGGAGGTTTCTGCCCTGAAAAAGGAGAACAAAACTCTCGAATCAAAGATGAAAAAACTAGAGGACCAAGCTGAGGCCGCCACCAAAGCCCAAAGTCTAGCCGAGGAAAAAGCTGAATCTGCCGAGGCCATTAATAAGGTTGCTGAGGCCGAGAAAGAAGAGGCCGAGGTAAAAAAGGCCCAAGCCGAAAAAGAGCTTCAGGAGGCCTTAGTTACCAAAGATGCTGAGATTAAGGAGGCTGACGAGAAGGCTTATGCTCAAGGAATGGCCGACGTTACCGAGGAGTACAAACTGCAAGTTAGGTAGGCATGCAACAGGAGTTTCTCCCTTGGTTGGATGGCCCTTGCCAAAAAGCTCAACATCCAGATGACTCGCCATTGCGCAAAGCTGATGATATCCCTCTGTCATTCCCTCCCCCTCCTCCTCCTCCTCCAAGTTATCCTGAAGAAGAATCCAAATCTGAGTCTGAAGATATGGAGGGGGGTGAGGAGGAGGGTTTAATAAGAAAATCCAAGTAGGCTGTTGGGGCTAAGTCTCCTTCTCTGAATGAGCAGGTCCTGGACCTGACTCAAGATAATGATGGCGATGAAGTTATCAAGGAGGCTACCCCAGAGCAGGGTTCATCCGACATTCCTCAAATCGGCAAGAGCGTTGATGAAACCCTTGCCGAGATTGACGCCGAGATTGCTGCAGATGAGGAAGCCGAGGTATCTCTTCAGGAGACTTCTAAGGTTCAGATCCAGCCAGTTGCTGATGCTGAAAAGTCTTAACTTTCATGTCTTTTCTTTTGCACCCTTGTACTTTGTTTTGTTTTCTGGTCAATGTAAGCCTCATTTCATGGACGATGTGCCTTTCTTTGTTATTTCGAAACAATTTACTTCTGGTAGGCCGTAGTGCCTTCTTTTGTACACAACTGCAACTGTTTTTCTATGGATGCTTTAATCTTTTAATTTCTCTTGATTTGCTTCTGTATGGTTCTATACTTAGAATATTTTGTATGCCTTTCATATTTTGCTACCTTTGTGCAATCTTCTCGAGATTACATATATCGGGTATAATAACTACAAGCTTTACTTCGGCAAGATACTGACCTGCAAACTTTTCATAAATTTCAACAAGTGTAAGACATATACTATTCAATGTCAACTTTGCGAACGTTTCTCAATGTTTCAATCAAGTGTTTAGATAGTGATCTTAGTCTAACCTACTTGTAAATTGCTACCAATTTCAACAAGTGTTATCATATACTATAAACTTTTCTCAAGTTATAACAA